GCTCCTGGATCTTCCTCTACCTCTTCCGCCCCGCTGATCAGCCTCTCGTCGTCTTCGGCCGTGCTTTCTCCGACCGCGAGACCCTTGGCATCCTGATCATCTTTAGCGTCTTCGTCGTCTTCCTTACCACCGTCGGATCTCTCCTCATTTCCGCTCTCATGGTTGGATTCGGGCTCGTCTGTGCTCATGGCGCTTTCAGGGTCCCAGAGGATCTATTCTTGGACGAGCAAGAACCAGCGGCCACCGGTTTCTTGTCCTTCCTTGGTGGTGCTGCCTCCAATGCCGCCGCTGCAGCTGCCCCTGCTGTTGCCGCTCGTGTCTGAATCTGATCCAGGGCTCCGCATTTCTGAATGTCGTTTTATAGGGTAATACAATATCGCTTCAATTGTGATTGATTCAATCTTTCAGTTCTTCTGTAGACAAAATAAATTTCCCATTGGGAAATTTTTGGGACTTATTTTTTTCCATTTTATGAATAGGGTGGATATTAACATTGGTGAAATATATATGGATCCATTGAGACTCCATGATACAAAGTTGTAATTCAATTTTATCGGCACGGATCTTGGGTAGAAATTACATAGTTTATTCTGTATCTAGTGAATATGTGTTTATGAAAACTTTCTGAGAATTTCAGTGTCAGATCTGTGCATGTATCATGATTATATGTCCATTTCTCCTGCGTTTTCTCTTTGCATTGTACAAACAAGATAATTTCATCGCCTGTATTAGTTGATGTAAAATTTACTGCAAGCTATTCACTGATCAGCTTTTTGTTGTAAGATCGTGATGGATCAATGTTCAGTCTATAGTTTATGAATGTAAATTAGTACAGGGCATGAGATGTTGTATACTGCTATCTACATTTCCTTTGTCTTCTCCTCTTGTGGTGCTTGTGCTTGTTTTCTGTACACCTTGTGTTGATATGATTGATTCTTTGTTCTAACACCTTGTAGCGTTCTTTTTTTGTTGCAACTTGCAACCGGAAACATATAAAAATGGGTAAAACGTAGTGAGATAAAATTGCATGACTATTGATCAGCCTGCCTTCATGCATAGCTTTCAACCATGTGGGGTTAACTCAGCTATGATATTCGTGGTTGATCAACTCTAGTGTTTAAATTAGGGTGGTCTTATTCACATTTTTCTGCTGCTCTGGCAGACCGGTTGAGACTACTCTTGCTATATTTTGGCCATTTACAAAATTATTGTTCTGATACACAGAGTTTCATGCCAATTATGAACTGTTGTCGGGCTTGCTTATTTGTGCCGCAATTGATAAATTTCTTTGTTTATATTCTTGCCTTGTCATTTTGTTAATGGTTGCTCAAGTCTTATGCTGTCTTGTATGCTTGTATGAATAGGTCAACTGTGAGAACGATCTAAAAACATCTAATGTACATTTGAATCTACACTTTATTTTTTTTGTTTTAGTTCACCGTTTCCTGACTTTCCTTGTTAGAATGACTTCAAGTTTGTTGATACTTGTAACGGAAATGCTATATGGATTCTTTTCGCAGCATGGTTCATGCTTATCGTTTCTCAAAGGCGTGATTGCTCTTTGTTAAATTGATTGAATTGGGTTCATATGAAGATCAGGAGTGGGATTCAAGCAGAGTCGCACTCTTTCTTCTGTCATGATAGTTGTGATAATAGTTTTGCAATTGTGTTGGAACTCTTGTGGGATGGGGTAAAGAGTGTGCATCAAATCTAGTCACAATTTTGGTTTTACAGTTATTTATCCCCTCCAATTAATGTGCAATTAGGATGGTTGAATGTTTGTACTTTGATCCTATCACCACCACGTATTATTGGTAGGTATAGCATTTGTCTTGTGGTTTGGTGATATTAAGGTGTGATCATAAACCTTGTTGGTTTGGTTGACGGTGCCTGTAATCCTTGATGCTAAAGAATCTTAGGAAACTAATCTGTTACGCTAGGGGTTGTTGGGAGCTGTATTATCTTTCCATGTCCACTTTTTTCGTGGTTTGTGTATTTGCAACATTGGAATTGCTTTTGAGCTTCACTCATAAACAAGTGAACTTATGATTTGTGTCGTATGGCATTAAACAGAAGCTTCAACGATAGATTGCGCTGCAAATCTTTGGGCCTTGATAATCTGTAAATACATGCATTCGGTCCACTGAGGTTAAAAGCTAAACGAGGTTCATTCTCGGTGTCTGAAATGGGGTTATTGTACATCTCTCATTATTTTTTCAGCTTGGGGTTTCGCAAATGCACGTTTGACAATTCTAGTCTTTTTAAACAGTGTCGACCCCCCACGTATCTGCACATGAACAGATTCTTCAAACAATCCTATAGGCCATAGACATAGCTTTTATTGGTTAGTTTGGTGAATTCAGATGAATTTTTGAGAGCTAAGAGGATAAATGAGACTGACAAGATCCGTTCCTCTTAGAAAGTATTAGTGTCACGGAATTATTATTGAGACGTGCAGCGTTCGTGTTTATAAGTTGAAGAAATTAGTTCTCATTGTGGAGGGTCGCCCTGCTTAGTTCAATGTAGAGTATTTAAGTTTATAAGTATAAAAACTCCTTTTAATGTATCTTATGTGAGATTTTATAATACGAAGATCAAAATTTTTCTCTTTTTTTGTAACACTTATATCATATTCATATCCAATATGAGGTTTTGTAACAGAAACATCATGTCAATGTTAATTTGCCCAAATTGTCGCCGCTATATTTGAGATGCAACAGGAAGAGCTTCTTGATTGAGGCAAGCAAATTTGTACTCCCCTTAAGAGGCCAAACGAAAATTAGCGGCAAAGACTGCGGAAGAATTGGAGAGAGATGGCCATGACGTAGCCACGTGGCAAGTGAACTTTAGCTTTATGAAAATCCAGCATGGCATATAGATTAGATAAATGTGGTCCCATGAAATATAGCCGTTACTGCAAGAACGACTCCCTCGCCGTCTTCAGGTGAAAGCCAAAGACCTGGTTTAGACTGACTAATAAGCTACCAACGGTTTCATGGAATGCAGGTAAAACTAGCCGTTAAGAAGTATATCTAAACATGAAGACCCCAACCCACCCCGATCTCTACTGACTTTGTCTCCCCCCCTCCCAAGGACACAACTAGATTCCCTTTCCCTTTTTATTTCTCCTCACTTCCCTTCTTCTCTCTAACTTCTTCCTTCCATCTTTCTCCGCACAGTCACGGTCTTCTCTTATCTGCATCCATAAAGGGGAACAAAGGAATAGAGGATATCCAACTCAGCTCGTCTCCTTCCTTCTCTTTTCTCGCTCTTACTTCTGCATTTTCATGGAAAATACTTGTCATCTCTTCAATGAATCTAACCCATTGCTTAATGAGAATGTTTCAGGTTCGGAGGACAAATGGAACATAAAACCACGAAAGAAACTTGTATCTCCCTTTGTTCTTAGAAACGAGTTCTTCCTCTTTGCCCATTTGTTTCTGTTTCTGTTTCTGCTACCGTTTTCAGCTCTGCTTGTTTCGGGCCAACACTGGGATGGAGTGATTGTAACCCAAGCTGATTATCAAGCTCTTCGAGCCATAAAACACGAACTCGTCGACTTCAGAGGATTCCTACGCAGCTGGAATGATAGCGGCTATGGAGCTTGCTCAGGTAGGTGGGCTGGAATCAAGTGTGTTAAGGGACAAGTCATCGCTATCCAGCTTCCTTGGAGGGGATTAGGTGGCCGTATTTCCGAGAAGATTGGTCAGCTTCAAGCTCTTAGGAAGCTTAGCCTCCATGATAATGTTCTTGGCGGTCCAGTCCCTTGGTCTCTTGGGTTCCTCCCCAATCTCAGAGGGGTATATCTCTTCAACAACAGGCTTTCAGGTTCCATCCCTCCTTCTGTTGGTAACTGTCCTGCTCTGCAAACTCTTGATTTGAGTAACAATTCACTCTCTGGTATGATTCCTCCTAGTCTTGCCAACTCTACTAGGTTATATAGACTTAATCTGAGCTACAATTCTTTGTTGGGTTCCATCCCCGTTCGTCTCACCCGGTCACCTTCTCTCACCATTCTAGCTTTGCAACATAACAATCTTTCTGGTTCTGTCCCAGATACATGGGTTGGAACAGGAAACAGTTCTTACCAACTTCAGATCTTGACCCTTGATCACAACTTCCTCACTGGAGCGATTCCAGTTACCCTGCGCAAGTTGAGTTTACTTGAACAAATTTCTTTAAGCCATAACCAGATTTCTGGGACCATACCTGATGAACTAGGGACACTATCAAAACTCCAGATGCTAGACTTATCAAGCAATGCTATCAATGGGACCTTCCCTTCTAGCTTTTCCAACCTCTCCTCTCTTGTTTCTTTAAACCTTGAGGGCAATCGCCTTGATAACCAAATCCCAGAAAGATTAGACAAATTGCAAAACCTCACAGTGCTCAATCTGAAAAATAATAGATTAAGCGGCCAGATCCCAGCAACTATTGGCAACATATCTGGCATCAGCCAATTAGATTTATCTGAAAACAATTTTACTGGAGAAATTCCGGATTCACTTGCCAGCCTAACCAATCTTAGTCATTTCAATGTTTCTTACAATAATCTCTCTGGTGCTGTCCCATCTCTCCTAGCCAAAAACTTCAATTCAAGCTCTTTTGTGGGCAATCTTCAGCTCTGTGGCTACAGCACATCAACCTTATGTCCTTCTCCCTCCCCTCTCAATCTTTCACCTGCACCTGCAGAGGCACCCAAACATCATCACAGAAAACTCAGTATCAAGGACATCATCCTCATAGCAGTTGGTGGCCTCCTAGCGATACTATTAATTTTATGCTGCATCTTACTCTGCTGCTTACTGAAGAAAAAAGCTACCTTGAAACAAAAGAGTGGTAAAATGGGGGCTGCCATAGGAAAAACTGAGAAGGCAGTTCCTGTGGCAGGCACTGAAGTTGAGTCAGGCGGTGAAATGGGTGGAAAGTTAGTCCACTTTGATGGTCCATTTGTTTTTACAGCTGATGATCTATTATGTGCCACTGCGGAGATAATGGGGAAGAGCACTTATGGTACAGCTTACAAGGCAACTTTAGAAGATGGCAATCAAGTTGCTGTGAAGAGGTTGAGGGAGAAGACTACAAAGGGACAGCGGGAGTTTGAGTCTGAGGCTGCTGCACTTGGAAAGATCCGCCATCCAAACCTCCTTGCCCTTAGGGCCTATTACTTGGGACCCAAAGGAGAGAAGCTTCTTGTATTTGATTACATGCCCAAAGGAAGTCTTGCATCTTTCCTCCATGGTAAGTAGATTCACCTAACTTATAAATTATATACAGAACTATAGGCATAATCAGTTAGATACCTAGACTAGTCCTAGTAAAGAACTAGAAGAAAAATAACAATGATATGTTGAATTGAGGATTCTTTTAATCTATGCAATAAGTTGTCTTGATTATGTAGGCCACTTTTGCCATGACCATTCCATCAATTCTAACTATGTAGAATTTCTTGTGCAGCTCGAGGGCCAGAAACCACCATTGATTGGCCAACAAGGATGACAATAGCACTTGGGATTGCACGAGGATTGAACTACCTACACACCCAAGAAAATATAATTCATGGAAACCTCACATCTAGCAACATACTACTTGATGAGCAAACCAATGCCCACATTGCTGATTTTGGCCTTTCTAGGCTAATGACCGCTGCTGCCAGCACAAATGTGATTGCCACTGCAGGAACACTCGGCTACCGAGCACCAGAACTCTCAAAGCTCAAGAATGCCAGCACAAAGACTGATGTGTACAGCCTTGGAGTGATCATCCTGGAGCTCCTTACAGGGAAATCCCCAGGTGAGCCGATGAATGGCATGGACTTGCCCCAGTGGGTGGCATCCATTGTAAAAGAGGAATGGACTAATGAAGTCTTTGATTTGGAGCTCATGCGAGATACACCAACCATCAATGATGAGCTGCTTAACACTTTGAAATTAGCTCTTCATTGCGTTGATCCCTCACCTGCAACACGCCCTGAAGTTCAGCAGGTTCTGCAGCAACTAGAAGAGATCAAGCCCGAGGTGGCTGCTGGTTCTGGTGATGATGGAGATAAAGTTCCACCAACAGCTGAATAGAGTTTCTTCATTGTTTACAGCATTTTAGGGAGCAATACAATAAATAAAGGGTTCACAGAAATTCATTATAGGAGAAAGAAAGAGAGAGATAGAGGAGGGGGGACGGGGTTTACTCAACCGATTTTTTTATTCTTATTATTATTTGCTGTTTCATATATGTAAATATAAGTTGTTTTGAATGAGTATTCTTTTTGTCTAAGACAATAAATGTATTCTTTGCAATTCATGCTTAATGTTATTAAGAGAGAAAATGTTTTATGCTGATTCCATTGACGGTCTCAGTGAAGTGTTCTTGCTGTTTAGTGAATGTAATCGTGGAAGTCTTCCATTGAAGGTTTTGAAAGTGTTTATGCTGCAAACTGTGGGTGAATGTTTTGGTTTTGTTGGACAGCAAACGCCCAGGAAAACAAAGTCAACACACCATAAAAGTAAACTGCAGAACAGCTGTTACTGTTTTAGCCCAAGTTTAGATCCTTTTAGCAGAAAAGCCCAACCCACGCGAGGCCCGATGAAAACGGTGCCGGTTTGGGTGTTTAGCGGAGAGAAGTGAAACGCTTTCTAGCTCTTTTTATCAGCCCCGACGGCTCTGCCTTGAAAGTTCTCTGGTTTCTCTGAGCTTGTTTCGACGTCATGGACGATCCGGTATTGCAGAAAATAGCAATATCAGGGCCCACGTTGGCCTCCATGATCCAGCGGCTCTCGTCGTCGCCTGCCGACGTGGACGGTCTCCTCTTCGGCCACGTCACTTACATCACCCCTTCCACCCTCCCTGACGATTCCGCCCAAACTCCCCCGGATTCCCAGCTCGTCGCCACAATCTCCAGCTTCGTTTCCTTCCCTTCCCTCCTCTCCTTCTACGACTCGCTCGGCCGAGTCGACTCATCCCGTCTCGCCCCTCACCTCAACCACAAATCAATCGTCGGGTGGTTCTCCTCTCGTCGGAAAACCCCTCTCCGCCCTTCCATGCGCGAATTTTCCGTCTCTCGTTCCCTCTCCTCAATCCCCAGTCTATCCCTCCCAGTCCAAGACGCTAATTTCAATTCCCATTTCACTCCTTCGATTTTCCTCCTCTTCACCACTCCTATACAAGACCAATTCATCCAAACCAACCAATATCGGGCCTTCCAGTTCCAATCGGCGAAGCTCCGTTTCAATCCGGTATCGATCGATATAGTCAACATTGGGCCTGCGTTTAGAGGACACTACGGGTCGTTTAGCCCGAACTCTGAGCTGCCCTTTTTGAACTGCGAGTTAAGGAGCTTAACGGCGATGAATGAAGATAGAACTGAGGAGAACTTAAGTGGAATGAAACAAGCGGGTAAGGATCAGTCGGAGTTGGATATGTGCGCCGAGGGAATGCAAATTGGGAGACTGAGCCGGTTGATTGGACCGGAAGCCGTTAATTACACGGCGGGATTAGAGGATTTATATCAGAAAATGCTTTCCAAAATTGAGAGCTTGGCCAGGCTCGTTGAAACCAGCTCAGCTAAGGTTCTTGAACAGGTGAGCTTCTTGGTAGTGTTTTTCCATGCCGGGTGCGGTTGAAGTTGGTTTCTTTGTGCATTTCAGGACATGTTTTCTAAATCAATTGTTGACAGGAAAACCACAACAGGAAGTTAAGGTACAAAGTTGCTCGGTCTACCGGAGTTGAATGATTGCTTCCTGTTGTTCATCCTCATGCCAGGTAATTAGCTTTCTGATTTGACTTAATTTTCCCAGAAATCATCCTACTTTATATTGCACTTTGTTAGATAATCAACATTTTCACCATTATTGTTGCATCACTTCATTTGGCTTAACTAATTTAGTAGCAGAGTGTATTGGTTAATTTCAAGGTTGAACTTTTTGTGTTATGTTTGAAATGAACTTAGCACGAAGGATAGCATAAAACACTTTTTTTCCTTGATCAAATTTTGATATATGGTGCTGTCACCTTCCATGAAGTTTGACCTTGTTGTAGTGAATTTCAATGGTTTCTAATTTTGATTCCTGCCCTTTTTGTGAATTCTGATTAAGTTTGGTATTTTCTAAATAGAGAAACTTGTGCCTTCTATTTTTGTTGGTCACATTGCTGTGAAAAATTGTGTTTATGACTTTATGAAACAAAAACTAATATATGTATGATGAAGATTCTCAATCTTTAGGTGTAACATCCAGAATGGTGAGGTGAGTTGCGTTGCCTTCAGTTTAGTTTTCCACAAGTGAGGATAAAGCAGTGGTACAGGGAATAGTTTAGAGCTGCATGACATGTATTTTGATAGCTCTTTACCTGAAATCTGTTTGCAAATGCAGAGGGCACATAGAATGTTGTGTTGTTCTGAGGCATTATGGTCCACGGGCATGCAAGATTTTTCTATCTATGTCTCAGGAGTGGTATTCTGTTTCCCCACAATGGATAAGCAAGATTGTGATGGTAAAAATAAAATGAAAAAGCATAATTCTTATCATGTTTATGTTGCAATCTCGTTAAGGGTTTTATGAACTTTTTTTTTTTTGACAAATTTTAATTAAATACAAGGCTTTATGGGTATCAAAACTTGATATGTAGGATGTAATGACTAAGAGCCTTAATTACCCGTCGTCCTACTGATGTTTCTTCTGTGGATTCCGCCCCTTAGCAGTTTCACTCTATAGTCAGGTTTAACTCATTAAGAAATTTGGAGAAACTTTGTCACTATTAGCTTGGTGTGTACAATCACTTTCTTGTTTATGCCAAAGCGGGTTATATAAATATTAGTGCATATTGATTCTTCATAAGTTGATTGGCTAGATTGCATTGGACAAAAATCCAAATAAAAAAGATCTGAGAACAATTTGACTCACCATTATTGGTTTCCTTCTGTCTTCTGTTTAGCTTATTGGTTTTCCTGCTGACTCTTTGAAGACAGAAATTCCTGATCTTGGAGCTGGCATATGAAAGATTATAGACTTCGTGCTTCATAAGGTTGGGTTTCTCTATTGACGATCAAGCACTGAGCATGAGTTTGATCGATTTATTCAACAGTTGCCGCCAATACCTCATGAATTCAAAAATTCTTCAGGCGGTCATTCAACCAAAGGACAGTTTTGAAAAGCTCGGTTCTGGACTTTGTATACTACCTATGATGTTGTGCCTTGTACATTGCTCTTTTTCTTCTGCATCTGCTCTTTAAATTTCCTTCTGTACTCTGGGACTCATGGTTTGTGAATTATGATAAGAGAAAGTGAATTCATTTAAGAAGACTTGATGTATTCTGATGCTGTCTTGTTAGGCATTGTCTCCCTAAAACTTTCATCCAGCTTTGACCCCATTTGGCATATCTAGCTATCCAATGGAACTGTCTAAAAAATTTTGTTATTCTATGTTTAAAAGTGTCCGAGTTCATTGACAGAGACTTGGAAATGATCCTAAAATGGAAAATTGCAGTCAAATCAAGTGAGATGGATGGATTTCCGAGAATGCACTGTCACCCTTTTCTTTGGGCAACCTTATCCTTTGCCAAGAGCTGTCTCTGTCAGACTGTTAAAAGATAGTAAGATAATAACTAGGAAAGTAGATGGAAACAATGTGCGCGTTCTTGTCCTAGGAAGAAGTTTCTCAAGTTGTCAAGCCCGCCCACAGGGACAAAGAGGAATCAAATATTGCTACAAACTACCACTTGCTTCACGAGGAATAATATTATAATACTAATAGTAAAAATAGAAAGACTTTTTTTTTAAAAAATGGATCCTATACATAAGAAGATTTTTATAATAAAGTTTTTCATAATTTTAATTATGTTTAATTTAAAAAATTAAAATTTAGATAAAATTATTTTTAATAAAATCAATCTATTTATTTAATTTTACACTTTAACTTGAAATTTATTAACAGGTCAAATATATTTAGGTATACGTTTCAAATCGACTCATATTCTTTGAACTTTTCTCATTAGACTATTTATTTTTAGAGTATTCTTTACTAGAAAGAAAAATATTTAAGCATTTTGAGCATTATGAAGTAGTTTTTGATGCACGAAAAAAACTTTTAAATGTTTTGAGAATTTTTAAGCATTTTGAAGTGATTTTTTATATACGAAGAAAAACCTTTGAACATTTTGAGTATTTTTTGTCAAATAGGTATATTTGTTAATTATGTTATTAAATAGAATATGATGTATCATTTGAAGTTGTTGATCTTGTTAAATGGAATTCAATAGTTTTGGTAGTTTTTAGGCATTACGTTATTAATTTTTAAGCATTGCGTAACAGACTTTAGACATTACTTGACTGACTTTGGACATTGTGTAACTAATTTTTAAGTATTGCGTGACTAATTTTAAACATTACGTAACTAGTTTTTAAGTATTACGTGATTAGTTGATATGATAATACATGATTAGTTGATAAGCATTACGTGACTAATTAGGAAGGCATTGCTTAAAAATCAATCAAGCAATGCCTATAACCAATCATGTAATACCTACAAACCAGTTATGCAGTGATTAAATCACGTAATATCTAAAAATTAGTCTCGTAATACTTATAAATCAGTCTAATCAATTTCAACTCTTCAATTTTAAGGTTCTATGAATAAACCAATAAACTCAAGAACCTAAAACATATATATATATTTTTATTAAGTCATAAAATTGTGCATTTCATAAAAGATAAGTTATAAAACTCCATAAACCTTCAAAGTGAGACAAAATATATCCTTATCGAGAAAGCTTTGCTCACTCTTCTTATGTAAAAATAAAATATATTTTCTTTACAAAATATTCTTTGAACAATTTCAATTCAAAATTTTATAAAAAAAATTAAAATTTTTAATAAATATATTTAACAATCATCCTAATCTCAAACATAATAAAATCGTGAACTTAAATAAAACTCATCAAACATGCTTTAACTGTTCTTTTTTCTTGAGCCCATCTTCTTAACTGATTTGATCTAACTCATCAACACAAGCATCTCTATCGCAGTACACATTTCGAAGTAAGTTACCATCTAAAATTATTTAAAAAATATTATTATCAAATTATATAAATAATTAATTAAAAGTAATTAAAATTATAAAAAATAATATTTTTAAATTAAACTTACAGAAAAAAAACTCTCTCTCATGATTTCTTTTAATAAAAAAAGCAGCCGTGAAATGTGCCACCAAAAGTAGTAAAGAAAAATGGTTTTTAATTCAACTTCCGGGATCATCAACTGGTCAAAAGCGCTGAAAACAGAGCCCTGTAAGCGAAAGACAAGTCTTCCACGCCAAGAAAACGATGGGAGCTACGTTGGTCGGGGTTTAGCCACGGGTCAGCCCTCGGCTTATGACCCATACGAAAGACGCCACGTCTGTCCCACTGCTTTCCATTTTGGGAATATCAAAAAGACAAAGGTTTCTACCGAATGCTTCCTAATCCGCTGTACATGAGTTTTTCTTCGTTCCCAAGGAATCCTCAGCTTCGTCGTGGCTGACCCTGACCTCATCCCAATCGAAAACAGGGTATAAACGTTGGCTATTTCTCATATCTTCCAGACAAAGTAGTCACACATACAAACACCCAAAACAAAAGGAAATTGAAAGGAACAACTTGCAAAACCCACACGCAGCCACAGGCCGTCTGAGATTGTTCATGAGTGAGTTTCTATTCCAAATTTCTGCTCTTTAACTGTCTATTCACTCTGAGGTTCTTGTTTTGGTACTTGAATCTCCAGAAAAACTGAATCAGGTATGGGTTCCCCTATGATTAGAAACAGCAGCTCTTCGGTTATGGAGGATGGTGTTAGAGCTCGTAATAAGAAGCCCCGGAGGAGAAGAAATGGACGTGAATCAGTAGAGGACACGATTGAGAAGTGGAAGAAGTACAACAACGACCAACTTCAACTTGGTGAAGAAGTTGGGCTCCAAAAGGTTTGTAAGGTTCCGGCCAAGGGTTCCAAAAAGGGGTGTATGCAAGGTAAAGGAGGGCCAGAGAACTCCAGATGCAAGTATAGAGGTGTAAGACAAAGGATTTGGGGCAAGTGGGTGGCAGAAATTCGACAACCGATAAACGGGGTTCGTGTAGGAAATAAAGGGAAAAACAGGCTTTGGCTTGGAACGTTCTCTAACGCCATTGAAGCAGCGATTGCTTATGATAAGGCTGCAAGGGCTATGTATGGTCCTTATGCTCGCCTCAATTTCCCTGATCATTCCGAGGAATCGGCCGTGCATAACTCAAACAAAGAGTCAGCTTCATCCACTACTGAAACTTGTTCGACTGAGTCTACTTCAATATCAAATTCGTTTGCTGAAAAAGCTAAGGAATTAAGTATACATTACTCGTCCCCTGCAGAAGAACCTGAACTTCATGTGGTTGAAGAATCAAAGGTCCGTTTAGTGGATAAACCGATGGAGAAACGTGATTGTTCTCAAGTTTATATAAATGAGGAAGCAGGATGTATAGCAGAGGACACTGCAACAGAAACGAGAGGTACTGAATGCAATTCAAGAAACGACCGCAAACCTTATAAAGAGCAGGGAGTTGAAGTTGAGACGTCTAAGGAAGCCATAGATCATGAACTTACAGAACTTATGAGACTCCACAACGACACAAATGATTACCTGCACAATGACCTCAAAGATGAGGGATGCCAATTGAGTATCAATTATCTTGATTCTGATGATTATAATTTGCAGACACCATTTAAGAAGAAAGAAATGGAATCAGAAGTAGAACTATCGCAAAACATTTTATCAAGTGCTTACAGTGGCTTCAATTTTAGACCGAATTACATGGACAATGAAGAACAAGATGCGGGTATTTCAACTATCGACTTGGAGCCTTCTAATGATGTTAAAGTTGAGATGCCAGTAACAAGGGAAAACTGGAAATGTGAACTTGCTGGCAGTATTGAATCCATTGATTATAATTTTTTCTCTGGCAAAGATGATAACTTGGAGAGTGAGCTTACAGATGGTAACCTGGGCTTAGGTTTTTGTTATAAGCCTTCAACTGAAATGAAAGCAGAAGCGCCCGTACTAATGGAAGAAGTGGAGGTTGAACCTCGGGGATTTACTGATTTTAATAGCTATAAAGGTTTTGGTAATACTTATGATCACATGCCTCATGAGCCTACGGGTTTGATCTGCCAGCAAGAAATGAATACTACTACACCTACTGATTTCAAAGCTCTGACGCCTGTAAATTATGGTGGCTTCAACAGCTTCAAGAATAAATTGGACTTCATGCATAGTTGGCCGGCAGAAGCCATAACTGATGGGAAGCCTTTTGCCTTGATTAGAAACGACAACTGCGGATTGAGACCGAAGGAGAGTTACAATTCTGATCAACTTGAGTCCTCTTCTACGAACTACCCTGAAAGAGGTGGGTTGCAGGACCCCATAGCAGAGGCACAGGGTGGCTTCAACCAATACGAGACAGGCTCTGGTGAAGATTGCAAGTTGGGATTTTCGAGACTTGACGTTGATTTGGACTTGGTTACTGATTTATGGTTTCCTGAGCATGGATTCTAGAAATTTTGGGGCTTACTTTATGATTTGGCCCATGAAGATTATGATCCTAAGTAGCTACCTAGCATCGCAAATAAAATCAAACATCTCATACATACTACACGTTGTCTCTATTAGCAAATTTTGTCAGCAGCTATGTTATACTCTTGTGATTATTTGAGTTCATTATTGTTTGAACCATTCTCTTTGTTTCAAGTTTTGTCTTCTGCCCTATGAATGTTTTCTCACATAGTTGCTCAGCCAGTAAATTCTTTTCTTTTCTGTGTGAAGTGTCGTTTTCCCAGTATCTCATGTCACACCACAATTTTCACAATAAAGTTAAAGAAATAGACATCACAATTTCTATTGGTTGATGAGAAAACAGTAAAATGTGGAGCCACTGTCAAGGAAAATATGAATGATATATACAGTAAGCTGTAAACAAATTTACAAAGCTGATTATGCCATTGAAAAAATAGATAATGCAGCTTCTAATGGGGTCAACCCCATCTTAAGTCTGGTCCAGCAGCCTCTAAAATCTACTCATGTTGAATCCAATTAGCCTCCATAAAGTTAAGTGGTCTTTGAAGTTCGAATGCTGTGACACTCTCATGAGTGATAATTTTGCCACTGCCACCACTTTCCCATGCCCACCCTGAAAGCATTTATCATCTCAAACTAATAACAGCAAAGCTTTGGCCAGGCAACTTAAGGCATTCTTATCCATTTCTACTCTCCATATCAGAATAAATCATTTTCCATGGTCCCGTTTTTGTGCCCAACCTAACATTAAACAGTTCAGTCTGATAAGATGTTTCAAATTATGACTTGAAAAGCTTTTCCAAGACTTAATTACTGTGATAATGTAAGGATAGGATATTGCCTCCCTAATAATCGGAAACCAAATTACCTCCAAATTCCAGCTACCACACGCAAAGCCATGAAGAGAAATAAGCCTGTCCAGACTCCAGCAAGACTGAACACAGGAGCAGCCACAAGTAGGAACGCTGATGAGATTAATCCGACTAGTACCTACCAATCACATATGGGAAGCTTAGGGAGGATAAAAACATATAGTTTGTCAACGATTAGTAGCAAATGCAACTTTGTCAAGCATTAGTAAGAAGGATGTTAAAGAACCATAGAGACGGCAGCATATTCATAGTCCGAAACTCCATAGTAGAGCCCATCAAGAACAAAAGCAATAGCATTCACTGGCTGAGAGCCGGCAACAAACTGCAAAATAGTATCAGTGTCAGATATGTCTGACACTCAAGCCTCAATCACAACACGTGATGCATATCCCAGGAAATCCAAAACATAAAGATGCTTTGTCCAACGTGATTACGCGATACATTTCATTCTGTCAATGGTATATGATATCAAAAAGCAAGGTAAAAGAAGTGACGCCATGCTTTTAAGAAACTGATCTATTAAGGACCAAATATGACAAGTCTGGTCCCTTAGGTACATAATAATTCAGAAAGTGGCTTCAGACTCTTTTATAACCAACAATCCAGAAGTTTTTAGAGCATTCTGACGATTAATCAGAATCTATCCAAAAGGTATATGAGGCAGTCACTTACCAGAGTACCTGACAAGGCAATTTGGAGAACTTCCGAATCTGTGCTAAATAAGCCAGAAAATGCTCCAAATCCAAGGAATAAGAAGACAGCCAACGAAAATCCTGTTCCTAAACCAATCTGCTCGACAATCAAGAGACGAGATAATAAAACTGGTTCAGTTACATAAAAAGGAAATAAAATTTAAAAGAAAAATGTAGAAGTTGGTTTTGTAAACCAGTAGAACACTGTAAATCACTCGGCGAGCTTGTTGATAATTTTCTTGGGAGTAATCAGCGGCAAGAAGAGCCTGTTACAGAAACAATACGATGAATGAAAAGTAGTTTCATAGAAATGCATTCAACAAGTTCCATTTAATGCTACTTAATATGGATGGCAAGACAATTGCCACCAGTGTCTTACATTTGGTTCTTGCACTAAAGATAGTTAGAAAAACACAGGACATGCTACCTGACCAGAAAGTGCTAAAGCATCAGTAAGCAAAGATAATGCCAACCAAACTTGTATGCAAATCTGATGACCAGCCATGGGAATAGGGCCCTGCCTAGCTGCCAGAGATGTTGCAAGGGTGAGAGTTCCAAGAGTGGCTATTGTCCTGACAATGAGAAGTCCACCTGCATATACCATAACCATTTCCATACTAAAAATTTGGCTGTTTCACATTGGAAGTACTTTACAGGATGTATGTTGTTAAAATTTGTTTTATGTAGCTTAATATAAGAAAAAAGTAGGCCGATAGTGAAAGTACGTAATATCAGCATAAAAATAACAGCTAAGGCTAGCCTTAATCTCAGGACATTATATGACTAAGATATTCTAACTTAAAATAGAATCATTATCAGTGTAAGAAAGGACTAGGTTTCACTATTATATCAGTGGAGCTGCAAAGTACTTGCGCTATTAATTTAAAACCTCCTAAATCTGATAAATTTGTACAACATGCATCAATGGTCCCCAAGCAGCTATCAGCTTTTTCTGCTGCAATTTTATTCCATATAATGTTGGCCAGTTGATCTATTGTTACAGTTCCAAAATAGAATTTCCTATTATTTTTAGCAAGTTCAATATCTTCAGATGGACTATTTACTTTAAAATTGACAGACTACGAGAATCCTAGGGCAAGTCAAAAGAAATTGAACATTGCTAAAATTAGCTGACAAGAAATGTACCAGATTTTATATATAGGGCAACTTTTCTCCAATCAACACTTGGAGAGATCAGTACTACTTTCCCATTCAACTCCCAGAGAAGAATAATGGCCATCAAATATCTAGTTACAAATAATGAAATGAATTTAGCAGAAGTAAAATGTCAAAATAACTTCCAAAATTGGCAGAAATATTATGAGCCAAGTACACTAGTATCATTAAGTTTACCACATTATTGACGTACTCAGAAGTCACAGTAGCAACTGCAGCACCACCAACGCCAAAACCAATGGGAAATATTAAAATTGCATCCAATATTACATTCAGTAAGCTGCCTACACCTGCTAATCCAAAGGAAAAATTAGCTATACTCAGTAACTACTGTACGCATCAAGACTAACTAACCTACTAGCATGATATTTGTTCCAAAGACTAAATTAGAGTAATATTTGGATATTGAAAAATGCTATTTTATCCTTTGTTCTTAATCTTGCACTTAGTATTTCAAGAAGTTGGGTGCTTTTTGAACAAAATCAACCGTAGTGGCAAACTGGCAATTATCTTTGTGAACTAATGAGTTACAAAATACTGAGAGAAGTTGAAATTGGATATGTTGAGAGGAAGAATGAAAAGAATAAAGATAAAAGTATAGCCTATCACTGCTCATCTATGCAAACTAGTTTTTTGGAATCTTTCTCTATTATTGACTATTGGCTGGGGACTGGGGGTCTAGCAATTCTTAAGCCACTGAGAGCTTTTCATTTCCTCATATGCTAATAAGTAATTGATTTCTGCAGAGAACATATGGCAAGGTTTAGATTCCATAAAAGGCATAGGATGTTTTTCAGTGTAACGCACTGAAAATGAGCATCAAAGAGGCCCCTAGAGGGGAATTGATTTTTAAACAGAAGGCATGTTGCAATACTTGCCAATGGCATACAAAGGTGTCTTGGTATCCTTAAATCCACGAAAAGTGCCTTGAGCAGCAAGTGCAATTACAATTGGCGGGGCACCAAAGGCCCTCCAGGTGAGAAACTGCTCAGCTGGCCCACGCATTGGTGAATCCTATGAAATAAGGAAAGAAAAAAAAATGGAATAAGATATATAAAATTGGAGCATTAAAATTTTAAAAAAATGATAACAAATCCATAATTAGCTAGCCTCACATACAACAGGTATACCCATGATATTCAATAAGAAACCCGAGCCAACTGAGAGTGCAACTGCTTCTGCAATGCCAAGGCCAGTAGCAAGTGCCAGGGAAGTGGATACTGAGGGAAAAACTCTCTTGCCTTGATGCTCAAATTCACCATCTTAATCATAACCAAAAGCCATCATTAAGTAAAAGTTTCAACCAAACAATATCATCATAGAATTGCACTTGCTTATTAGCTTTTCGACTGAAATTACCATCACTGTTTTTACCAATCAATGCTTGCTCTTCAGCAACAAAGGACGTGGTGATATTAAGTAAAGGAACATTAAACAACTTTGACACCAAATTGAATATTGATACTGATACCCCAACCGCCGCCAGTTCAACCGACCCTGCACCAGAAAATCCAATAAACTCATCAGCCGTAGTTTTTATTTTTAGGGGAAATTCCAAATTCGTAGTTCAACAAAGGTAAATACCCAAATGGCCAACAAAGGCTGTATCGACAAGTGAAGCAATGGGGTCGGCAGCCAAAGCCAACGCAGCAGGTAATGCAATTGACAGAATCTCCAATCCAAGCTCATCTATCTTAAACCCATCTCTACAAGCACCCCCTCAACCCAAAAAAAAAAAGAAAGAAAGAAAAAGGAGGCTCAAATGTTTAAATTTCAAGAACACATCAAGCCTAACATATATTAGCTGTGACAAAACTGTACCTTAACCGGCGAAAGAGAAGCGAAGAAGTCGGGTCAGAGTCAGCAATACCAACACGTTTGGAAGGGACAGGGGATCGAGATTTTTCAGGTTGAACATTTTGTTGTTGGGGTGAGGTTTTGAGCGAAGTGGTGGAGTTCTTGTGCTTTGAGGACTTGGGAAGAGTTGGAGTACAGAGTGAGAAACTGCGGTTCCTGGGGAGTTTGTGAGGATTGAGAAAAGGGTGTTTCGCCGCATCGAATTTAGAACGAAAGTGAGAGAGGGTGGCAGCCATTTTTGTCCGAGCTGCCTTCCTCTTTCCACTCCGAGACCCGAGCGAGAGCACTTTGAATCCTAGTGAAGATGTCTGGGAGCCATATGTTTTCTCAGGCTTTTTGTTGCTTGGCGGTGGTGTCAACTGAATTTTAACGGCCACAGGTTTTGCTCTTTAACATATTATCTTTAAGCGGGGCATGTCTTTTTGACTTTTAGTTTACTTGCTGCCCTTTCTCGGCCTGGTTGCTTAGCCCATTTGCTATTGGGTTGGGACACAGGTTTTCTGTTTACACTTGATCTGGGCCATTTGAATCTGTGCCTTTGCCTCTTATTTTTCCTTACCACAAGCCTAGAAGTGATGCAAGTTTCTAAATTCATTTCCATGCCATGAATGAGGAAGCTAAAAGATTAAGGGGACAGCCCCCAGTCACAATTGGAGTGTGGAAAATAAAGAGGTGAGCAATGAACTATATCCATTGATTTACACATGTCTTTCTTCTTTCGACAGGAACTTGGGGCAGAAAACCGGGGGTTTCAGGATTTCAGTATGTTCCAGTGTTTTTTTTTTCCTTGTTGATTAAAGTCCCAAGTCCAACTTAAGACTTTCTTCTCTCTGTCAGGTTTCTGTCAGGGTAGCTAGCATTCATAACTGACATTCGATGAAATACCAAACCAAGGGAAATAAATATATATAATATGAATTTAGCCACACACCCTAATTTCCAAAGGATAAAAGAAAATAAAGGAGTCTCAAGTCTGGGACAAATTTAGTCATGCACCCTCGTCACATTGGTCAGTTCTTATCTGGGAAAAAGAGGAAAAAGTTTTGAAAGCCCACAAATCCTTTCCTCAGATGATAATAATAATAATAATAAAAGCTCAAAAATTCAAATGCCCTGGTTCCTCTATTATTCCAGTTACACAGATGGACCATGGTGACAGATAGGCAAAACTCTGACGGCTTGCAACTATTGGTGCACATGGTTGTAAACAATTCATGCACTATATGTTCACGTTTATTGAAAAGAAAAAGAATAACAACAAGCGGACTTGGAAACTTTTCACTTGACTTGCGCCCTATGCTACTGAGGATGTCTGCAATCCCTTGTATCAACAAGTTGAGGTTATTCATTATTCAATAGGACTTGGAATAGAAAAAATGGAAAAAATCCCTGAATCCCATGTCATGCCAACCCCATTTGTTGGAGTAGAGGGAATGCTGGTTGCCTGGAGGAGAATGGCTGGCCGCTTGCATGGTAAGGCTAGCAAGAGGAGTTCCTGCAAAGGCACATGGCAAGCCTTGAATCTCATTCAATGCCACTGCTAGAAAAAGACAAAAGGGTTTTCATTATATTTTTAAGTAGATAGTCAGTCTTGTTCAATACCTCATAATACCAGTGTAACAGTGTTGAATTATGAGATGATCAGAGTGTCTCGAAATACATTAGGATAACAAGACTCGAATCTAACACAAATTATTGGAAAAAGACAAAAATATCAATCCAGAATGACACAGTTTACATGTTACTGAGCTTAAGTCAAACTAAAGAACTTTTCTTTTAAACCAAAAATTCTAAGAACATACAAGCAGTGAGTGACCCCCCTGCTGCTATGCTCAAGCATCAATATGCAAAGCGAGAGAGGCATTAGCTTCAGTTGTCCTTTAACAAGTATGAGGACCTTGTCTGTCACATTTTCCAATAATTGAAAAGAAGCCCTGGCAATAGAGAAAATAAAGGGCAAAAAATTTCAGCACTAGTGTTTTTCTAGTGGTAGCAGAAAAGGAAGCGTGGAAATACAGTCACCTGGAAGTGGGATTAAAAATATCCGAAAGTTCGGAAAGAGTACAGATATTGCAAAAAAAGAGGCCTCAGATGAAGAAAGGGACCGTGGCTTACACGAAGTTGAGAAGCAAGTCAAAACCTCACTGTCCAACCCCACTAACCTTTCCATTCTACAATGGATTAAGTCCTGCAACAACCCCCCCTTTTTTTTTCTTTTCCATTACAATGAAGGTAAAGGAAAACCAGTGGCCAAAATCAGGTTCCATGGATGTTGCCAATTGCCATTGGAGATCCACGGAAAATCATCAGAAACCACATATGTAACTGATGTTAGAATCAGATATATGTTATCAACAAACGACAATAATGAAAAAAACAACAAACAGAACAGGGCAAAGCAAAACTGTTTTTCATTTGCCTAGCAAAAATGAAATTAATCACTCATTCTCTTTCAAGATCTTTCAGTACTTTTTAGTGTTTGAAGAGAAGAAACGGTAGTTGAGAAAGCTCGGACATTTTGTAAAGAAAGAAAGAAACCAACAAACTTGATAAAATTTGCTACCAAGATTGGTAGAGCCTAGAGAGGTGAAGATGATGATGGAGGAGGAAATGCAGCAGCACTATGTACCCCACACGAATCTTTCTTCATTTCTCGGACTGAGAGACAGAGCAAGAGCAAGAAGAACCGATGAAACTCAGGATGGATAGCGCTAACGAGGATCAGATTATGTAATCCAAAAGATTCAAGATCATCCATGGCGCTATCCCTCCTGAGCTTAACAGACTCTTCTATACTAAAAAACATATCTTCTGCTTTATTTCATAGCTTCAGAAACAAAAACAACTTCCCAGAGAAAGGCCAAACAAATCAAGTAAAGAAAAAAAAGGGTAAACCCCGGTAAATGGCCTGCTCTGGTAATGTTGGTGAGGGAGTTAAAAACGAGCAGCCTGTATTTATAGCAGCTGAGGGAGAGAACGTGGGTTTGGGAAATGCAGACAAACGTCACCTCCTCCTGGAGCCATGAGAAAGCTTGACTAACTTGAAACTCTTTTATTTGACAATGTGGGGAAGGATGGATTTGATATGTATATTACTATTTTTCTTTGCCTCGTCTTTTTAATGCCTCTGCCGACTACGGTGCTAGAGGGAATTGTACATGAAGAATCATTTTTTGGCTCACAAATGGGACCGTATTTTTGCCATAATTGCACATTAATTGCACTGTTTCTTTGCTTTTGTTTTTTATTTATTTCTCTTCTTCTGCTGCTGCTGCTGAATTTTCAAAGGCTACCCAACATTTCTTTCTACACTTCATGATTACTTTTTCTTTTCGGTTAATCTTCTGATTAATGATTATGATCGTACATAATGTAGTTTTAATCATCTTTTTTTTCCAACAGAAACTCTAGCTATGATGAAGGGTGTCTTCTTTTTTGCTTGTTCTCAACTCTGCGCTGCTAAACCTAACAGGATTGGTTCAACAGCCCACCAGTACCTGCTTCCATTGGCTGTAAAAAAACTTGCCTAGATGGAAAATCTTTCTCAACTTTGGTTCAATTCCAGCATTGAACACAATTTTCAGACTAGTTTGCAGAACTTCTCGAGTACTTTGATCATTGCCATCTCCATTAATGGAAAAATATGTGATTGTAATGCAATTTTATGATGTGGGCCTCTGTCTACTCCACTTAGAAAAAAAAACTAATATCATTGAGAGTGTTTCCTAATTGTTTGGTGTTGCTGAAAACAACTTTATTATATTTGGGAGGTTTCTTCCTCTATGATAATAACATTGACCCAACATGTTTTTTGCTTCGAGCAGTCCCATAACCTCACCATTGCCAAATTTTTTGGTCACCCCTGTTCTGAGTAGATCATGACACATTCCTACTGTAAAAAAAGTCTAAGGGTAATAAGAAAATCAAGAGAAACCCTTTGCTGTTTTATGATGAATGTCGATGCATAAAGTCAAATCAATTTTGTTCTTCTACTTGTAAATGATTTTCAAACTAATAATACGAAATTCTCAACCTCGATTTGATTGATTAGGGTATTAGGAGAAGTAGCATTATTTGCTCTTATTAATATTCACTTCGATTAATTCAATTTTTTGATTGAAAAATAGATAGTTATCATCATTACATTACCTGCTTAGACTTCGATATAAAACATATAAAAAAAAAACCGAGTGTATATACACTTGATATATGCAACATATACGAATTTGGCATTCGCAATCATGACATTGCTTTTTTTTCATGCAAAACTTGTCAATGATGGCATTGAATTCGTTCTCACCAAACCTCCTTGTTATGGCAACAGGTAATTTGCATCCAGCCAGCTGCTCTGAATCCCCAGTGGCTCTCTCTCTTCGTGACAAACCTGCCACCATCAAGCACTTCTTTTTCCTTTTTCTCATATTCTTGATAAAATAACACGTCAGTATGCAACCTGTTTCTGATACAATTAGCAAACACAAAATCTGGCAAATTTGCATGCTAAGGTCAGCTTTCATGCCTCAAACCGAAACAAAACTCTGTCGTACACCTTCACAAAAGGCTCTTCCACGATGAAAATTACCACTAGTGAAACCAACAGAAGATTTTAGTAAATAGATTGCAAAGAGGGGAGCTTGCAGCAGGAAATTTAAGCAGGTTGCTTGGGGTGCGATGGAGCTGGTACAAGTGGCCAGGGAGTAATATTGGCGAAACACCAGGGTTGACATTGTAATGCAGCCATTTATGGGAAAATCCCAAATTCCAATTTGGAAGTCGTCAATGTACCAGAAAAATGAACACTCCACGGAGTCGGAGGGACGCCTCGGAAATTGCGCATTTTCTATTTAACTTTGATTTCGACTTCTTAGGTACAATGCCCCCAGCCGAGTGAGAACTGAGAAGGGTCCAGCGCCAGACCCTCTTCACGGTTACCAAGACACATTCTTTTGCAGGTAATTGAAGGAATCTCATGTTTTCTTTTTCATATGTTTTTTCCTTCTACATACATCTTTCATCCTGTTATGCTACACTAATCTATGCTCAATGTATGATTCAGATTCACTGATGGAAGCTCATGAGGAAGCCATTTTACGCTGATAGGAAAGGTCCAAGGAGGGCGTTTTGGTCCAAGTACAACCCTTTCGAACCTAATGGTCATGTGCCATGGAAGTAAAAATCTAGCTTTTGGGGCTTGGAAAAATTTAATGACGGCACCTGCCATTCTGCTACTGGTGCAGAAGTGGTCGCTCAGGTTTTTTCAGATCTTTTGAGGGAGGGGGTGCACCTTCTACTTACTGGTCATACCACTAAACCTGCCAGGGAAGGGCGGAATCCCTGTCCACAGGATCAAACCCCGTGTTAACATCGGACGGCTTTCAAGAACCCATGCGCGTTTTCCACAGTTGTGCCAGCCATTTTCCAAGCAAGAATGGGTGATTGGTTGGGTGGCGGAGGCAGTCAAACGAGTAAAGAGAAAGAGAAAGAGAAAGCTCCTGCAAACTGGGTCTAATCTCATTTTTGTCGTGGTTAGGGACTGAGGTCGAGCCTCATTGTTCATCTTTCAAGTTGTTCGAACATATCTAGTTGCCATCGCTTTCTCACCCGAACAAACTTGACCATCTTTTTCGCTGTCTTATATTTACACATTGCTTAGCAAATCTAATCCAACTGACAATCATATTTTTCTCCATGTCGCCTAGTGTAGACTTTGCACACATGCACTGAAGGTGGGCGTGGAGGGGATCTTCCTTTACACAAAATAAAAGCATGTAGCTTTGCTTTACACTTTTTCTTCAAAGAACAGAGTGCTTAGAATTGTTCATATTTTTGTTCTTAAAGTTTTAAGACGAACATTATATGTTCGGATTTTTTTTATCAATTCTTTTCTTCACACATGTCAATACATGACGAACAATTAACGTAACACATGATAATTTATTATAAAAAGATTAACAAATGAAACTAGTATTTATTTTGGTTCCACGTCGTGATTTTAAAACGAACATTTAATTTAAAATTAATTCTGGTTTCACTTTTTATTATTATTATTTTTTACCCTTTTTGTTTTGAAAAAAGAGTTTAATGGCAATTGGTCAAAGGGTGGGGTGAAAACGGGGCTCAGGAGCAAAAGGCCGGGCCTGCCGTAGTGAAAGGATTGCGGTGATAGGTGGTGGTCACATCATGGCCCCTTTGATTCGTTCTGAATCCGCCACGTGGGGACCAGACGTCCAGCGATTAACACTCGAGGGCCCATCTTTTTGGTTCGGGCCGCAGTAGTATTTCCCAATTCCTGCCCCATTGGGCCATTGTCCATCCGTAACAAGTAAATAATAAGTATGCGTTTATATTTACATACGCAATACGTACAATATCATTTATTATTATTCTGATCTTCTCTATATACATGTCTCTCTCTTCTAATATCAAATTTTTAATTTTAATATATTTTATATTACAATAAGACACTCATCTCCCTGAATTAGACATCTCAACATATTTAATTACCAATTTTCCCAAAAATGAATAATAATTTCATAGGTCCGTGGGGAATGAGGCATAAATGTGGGGATCATGGGTGAAATGGGGAAGAAGGGCCCCGCACCCGACATAACTTTTGGTGAATATATTTGGGGACCGGATTTTGTTGATGCGAGTAATGCGACCCAACGCCAGGTCCAGCGTTAGGGTTCTGGTTCTGGTTCTGGATGAGATGAGGCGAAGGTTCCCTGACCCCAGTTTCCCCCACACCCCCTCCCCACCTTATTAATCTGACGCAATGATTATACGGTGTACCTACTCCCACGTCATCATCCCATCAACCTTTGAATCAAGCACACATGGTGATTGACTATTTTTCTTCCCATTTTCCCCCAAACCAAACAAATCCTTCCTTCTGCCCCACATGACAAACGATCGTGTGATTTCCAAGGTTTTCACATGCTCTGGGTAAAAAAGAGGGTGATAGATTTCATGGGTCCGCACTCCTTAGCCCATGAGCTGTCTCTTAGATACTATTAGATTATTTCTTCAAGCATTGCCATGGAAGAATCTGTATCTCAACATTCTCATATTTGGCTTATATGTTGTCGTTTTTTATTTTCCCCGATGAATAGTGGAGATTCCATTAATTCATTTTGTTTTTATGTTCCTCATGTTGCATTTGGTCCAAAAGCAACTTTTTACCCATCTCTCAAATAGCATTTAGTTAAATAGATTTAAATTTAAAGTCAATTTAATTTGTTTTAATACAAGTTAAACCTTCTTGATTTACCTATCATACATTTAATTTATTTAATTAATCGTGTTATAATGTCAATTCATATAATATGATTTGTTTAGCTTATTTATGATATTCATTCAAATAAATTAATTGTGGTTAAATGAATTTATTAAATATTAATCATATTATGTCATGTAAAACTAACGATCTTATTTGATTATATAAATTATATAATCATAACAGTAAAAGTTATAATCATCTCTAACGATTTTATTTTACTCGTGTAATGCTATTTCTTTTCCAAAGACAAAAGAATCCCGATAAAAAAATCATTTACTTAACTTCATAAATAATAAAAATAATAAATAACATTTTATGACCATTTATTGACTAAAATTAATCGAATAGTCTAACTTTAAGACATGTTAACATTTGTCATAAAAAATCAATCGAGCTATCTAAGAGCCATATGCACTGAGATTACTAAACAACAGCAAATGATGTTGTTTTGTTCTAAGATAATAAATATTAGATTTATGAGTATTTATTTATTAAAAATAATAGAAGAATCAAATTTTCAAACATGTCAATAATTGTATCATGAAATTAAGACTCAGTTAATTAATCACTTAATTTCAAATCTAAACTTAGAATATAGTATAATGCTATTGAATTATATGGTATTTTGGCATATAAATTTATAAAAAAAAATTAACTACTTAAAATTCATTGCATAAATTAATTTTGAAATCAAATTCGAATGGTTTCCCGGTCGATGCCCAATTATTTGGGCTAACTCCACCAATAAAATGGGCTTGTAAGCCCAAGTAAAGATGACTATAATATTTGATCGGGCCGAGGAAGCCCAAAATTTACCCTCCATAGCAAATTAAGTTCCCGCCTTTCCCAAAAGAAGAAAACTCCGATAAAAAAGAAAAATTTTCAAAATGTTAATAGCCAAACAACAGCGACGTCCAAGAGAAGCCTTTAAGCGGAATCAGGAAAATGACGACGTGGCAGATATTCTCTGAGGCCGGAAACGATTTCCGGTGGGAGGTTTCCGGTCGTATCCTCCCGTCTAAACCGGACGATGAGCCGAACCGCGCTCCGGTTCCTCCACTCCCTTCCAGGGCCGATCTCCTGCTTCAAGGTAATAAGTCTCTGAATGGTTTTCACATGTATAGTTTAGTTATTTTGCTCTGAGATTTTTGTTGGAACCAAACGCAGGATGCTCGAAGCTTATTGAGAACGGAGATGCAGGAGTCGGGAAATGTCCGATGTTTAGAACCGGATTAGGTAAATCGGTGGCTTTGAAAGAGTCTTCCATTGCAAAAGCATTGTCTATTCTTGGCGACGATGACGGTGACACTACTGTTTCTGCAAGTAAACGCTTCTCTCTCTCTCTCTCTCTTTTCCTTTAATAACGTGCATCTGGCTTTTTCATTCATTAATTTGCAGCATTTTATGTTGAAAGAATCTGTGATTTGGGCTTTTCTGTTAATATCTCAAAATTTGGAGCTGAAGAAAAATCATGAAAACTATAAGTGTTGAAATTATGTTTCGAATTATTTCTCTAGTTTATAGGAACTAAACAGCGGTCACTAAAAAATCATTAAATGTATTCACTGTTAATCGACAAAGATGGTTGTACAGTTGCGGAACCAGCTCCTTTTTTTGACTTCTCTGCTGCACAGGCGAAGTGGTTCCTAGAAACAATGGATTCGGCTGCTCTAACTCTCTTTTTCAAACGGGCTCTGGGAAAATGGTTAACATATCTTCAGCTGGTTTGGTCAGAGCTAAGACATTGTTGGGACCGGAACAAGATAATGAACATCACAGTTTTGAAGGTTTTCAACATCCAAAGAAGTTACCTGCAACTAATGAGCCTTGTTGGTGGCAAAGTTTTTCTCATTCAGAGAAAAAAGAAGGTTTACGAAATACTGGGGTTGCGGATATTTTTGCAGAATCAAGGCAATTGTTAAACTCTAGGAATGGTTCACTAGTAAGTACAGTAGGCAGTGAAAATGACTCAACGCCCGTGCATTCCAAAGAGTTTGATTCAGCTCCCAAGCCACCTCCAATCAAGTTTCATACTGCTGGTGGAAGGTCGTTATCAGTTTCAAGTGATGCATTGAAACGTGCAAGGAGTCTTCTTGGTGATCCAGAGCTAGGGAATTTCTTTGGTGAAGTGGAAGAAGAGGTTTCACCGTTTACGGTTCCAAAGGAAAAGTTTAATGATGCTTCATCAAACAAGGAAAACCATTTTTTCACTTCCTTTTCCCTTCAAGGAACAATAAAGAGTAAAGACACATCCAAGGATTTTATATCTCCACTGAAAGCATCTTTCAAGCAAATGAGGCCCATATTTAATTCAGAAAAAATATGTTGTGGGACTAACTTGATTGACAAATTTGATGCAGTTGGAAATTCTAGTGCATGTGTGTCGACCACCAATATGCCTTCTGCTCAGAAGTCTTTAAACAATAGTACTTCTGAGAAAAATTTGGTAACTAACATTTCGTTGCCAAGGCTTGGAAAGTCATTTGGCGGCCCATTGGTTGATATTTCAAATAACTTTGTCACATCTCAAACAAATAACAAACGGCTGATGACTGAAAAGAAGCGAATTGGAAGATCAAGTTTTATTTCTCCGTACAAGAGACCCCGCTGTTCTGAATTCTCTGCTCCATTGAATAAAGATGTTTCCTTTGTAGGTAATGGTAATTTTATCAAGCCTTAAGAACTTGTTTTACTTTTATCATCTTGGTTTATGCTCCTTGATACATGCTTTTCGTCAGCTTTATCTACTTCATCAGATGATCATTCATATTGCAAAAGAACAATTTCCACTAAATATCCATTTCAAGTGCCAAGAGTATATATGAAGGAATATTTTGCAGTGCCTCCATCAGCCTGCAGCATGGTACACAGCCTCTCAGAACTATCAATTGCTTTCAAGAAATTGATTCTTTTCTCAGCATTGACACCTGTTTATATTCCTGAATTGATTTAGTTGGAGTGTTTGTCAGACCAAGAGAAACAGATCAAACCAGAAAATGCAGTTAAGTATATGTTTAAAGATGAATCTGGCTTACGTAGCATTGGGGCAGAAGCTTTTTATGACATGTTGGCTCATTCTGGAGCTTCTGTGCAATACATTTCTAAAGAGTAATTGCCTCTTTCTCTTCTCCGTGCCTGCTTCATTTGTTTACTACATAAACCTTATTATTATGATTTCCATGTGCTACAATAAGTTATGCATAAATTGATGCTTTTGGTTGCTTGCTCACAGTTGGGCTATACCTGCAAGCACTGTTTATCATCTGCATTCAGCAATGTATTTTTATATGCATTAAACCATTCTGGTTACCCTTGTATACGTCTAGGTGGGTTGCAAATCACTATAAGTGGATTGTTTGGAAACTTGTGTGTTATGAGAGGCGCTATCCTTCCAAATGTGCTGGAAAATTTTTGACCATCTCCAATGTACTCGAGGAACTAAAGTACAGGTATCCAAATACAGTGAGTAATATGTTTACCTCTGAACTTTGGTTTGGCATGATATTTATGAAAACAATTTATGATCCATTTTTCTAGATACGATAGGGAAGTAAATCATGCACACCGTTCTGCAATAAAAAGAATTCTTGAAGGGGATGCTTCGCCTTCTACAATGTTGGTACTATGCATTTCAAATATTCAGTCAAATTCTGAACCAAAGATGGAGACAAATCTAGTGATTACAAATGGAGCTGATAATAGCGGTAATGCAAAAGTGGAACTAACAGATGGGTGGTAAGCTAATTCCCATTTTACTGCTTATGCTACATTAATTTTTTTTTGCATGTAAAAGATGCCTTGGCTTACAGGTATTCAATGGATGCTGTTTTGGATGTATTGCTATCAAAGCAGCTTGCTGCTGGAAAATTATTTGTGGGACAGAAACTTCGGGTAAATTGTTCATTTGTGTCTCAATTTCCCCTCTTCAATTAGAGCATTCTGTAAAGTTCACCTTGTTCTTATGGAGTAATTTGTCTTTTGAAGATCTGGGGAGCAGGATTGTGTGGCTGGGTTGGGCCTGTTTCACCCCTTGAGGTTCTGGCTGATTTGAAGTTTTTTAAGAAAGTTAAATTCTTGAAATTGCTTTGTCATTTGGAGTCTCGTCATTTTCTTTTTTTTCCCCCTTGAATTTCAGGCATCAAGTGCAATAAGTTTACTTTTGAACATAAATGGAACATTTAGAGCTCATTGGGCTGATCGACTGGGATTTTGTAAGTAGTGTTTACATTATATTGCTAACTTCTGTTTACGAGTTTCATATGACAAGAAAAATCAAGATTCCCCTTGCCTCCTCAAGCATGATTTTTCAATTAATGTCTTCAGGCAAGGGTGTTGGTATTCCTTTGGCATTTAGGTGCATCAAGAGTGATGGGGGTCCAGTGCCTTGGACTTTAGTTGGAGTCACTCGGATATACCCTGTTCTCTACAGGGAGAGGTAACTGGAAAGTGATTTGTCTGCAATTTATGTGAAAACGGCATTGCATGGGGCGCTTTTAGTTTATTTTGTTTTTTCCATCCAGGTTGAGTAATGGGGGGTCAATTGTCAGATCCGAGAGGATGGAGAATAGAATGCTTCAACAGCACAATCAAAGGTGACCTACTCTATTTTGTCTTCATTTAAAATGTCGGAATCCTCTTTTCTGTATTGTAATTTCATGCCATTATGGTGGCGTTAACTTAACGTAATGCATACATCAGCTGCGCTTTATGGCATTCACATAACCTTCATCAGTCAGTCTTTTACCAGGCTTTGTCTGATAAAATTCAACTTTATGTGCTTTTTTCCAACTAATATGCTGTTATCTTCTCTCTATTAGACCTAGTCCTTCTTCCTTGATGCAAACTGTCTTTATAAAAAAGAGTAATACTGCCTTTTAACTTCATAAACATTCATTCTCCAGTAGTAATATGGGTTTTCTCGACTATTGGTTATACTGACTCTATCAATTCCTGTTGCTTAAATTACTATGATGTGCTCTACTAAAGGATATCAACTGGTTAACGCTACCAGTTTGATTCTTCTTAACAAACTTAAACATTCATTAGGATGTGTTGTGGTAATAGCAGAGGAAAACCAAAAGTTTACTGATGTGAAATAAGGACTGGTATTCTAACTGGAAATTTTTTGAAGTCAGGCCTTTAACTGGCTATGTAATTGTGAGTACATAGTACAATAGGCTTTACACGCTCGATATTTTTCCTGCTGCAGGTGCTTGGTTGTTGTAGATCACGTTATATCTGAGTATCAAAGAGGGGTCAACAGTTCTCATATCCTTAATGACATTGAGAGTGAAGGAGCAAAAATCTTAAAAATTCTTGAGACAGCTGCTGAGCCAGAAGTCTTAATGGCAGAAATGAGCCCAGAGCAACTAACTTCCTTTGCTACATATAAATCAAAACTTGAGGTGCATTTCAGCTACTTTCCTTGAAAGAAAAATCTAAATTAGAAAGTGATATTAACTATGCAGATGTGACTGTAGGCAACCAGGCAGTTGGAGATGGAGAAATCAATCGAGAAAGCTTTGGCAGAGGCTGGCTTAAATGAGCGAGATGTTGTCCCATTCATAAGGGTGAGAGTTGTTGGATTAACCACTAGGAAATATCATGGAAAGGGAAGACCTAAAGAAGGCATAATAACCATTTGGAATCCTACAGAAAAGCAGGTGAATCTGAGTGTTATCCTGCTCTACTCTCTTCTTTGGATTAGCTTTATCTCCTTGTGCACGTGCCGTTTTCTACTTTTACAAGCATGTGCTATATAATTTGTCCTTGTGTCTCCTTTAGTCGGGCAGGGTTAATCCTAAGTTTAATAGAATAACTTAGTTTACTTAATTGTTTAATTACAAAGATACGTATGACTGAAACAGAAAAGCGAGCTGGTTGAGGGGCAGGCATATGTCGTTGCTGGGCTTATACCAATGAACTCAGATTCAGAAGCCCTTTATTTACAAGCCCGAGGATTTACCTCTAAATGGCAGCCTTTATCTCCCATGGCAACGGAATGCTTTGAGTAAGTTGTTCATCTGCATGCTCTGTTATCATAAGTTGGTTCCAGCTCACGCTTGTCCTCTACAGGCCATTTTTCAGTCAGCGAAAGTCAACGAAATTGTCAAATTTAGGTGAAATTCCTCTTTCCAGGTAAATCTATCTCCTCTACCTTCACATGCTAATGCCTAGCTGTTTTCTTCTGAAAATCTTGGTTTCTTCATTCATTTTTCTTTCGGGTTATTCAGTGAGTTTGACATTGCTGTATATGTTGTGTACGTGGGGGAAGTCTATACGGCTGCTCATCAAAAGAAACAGTGGGTGTTTGTGACAGATGATTCCATTTCAAATTTACCGTCAGAAGGATTATCAGATTCTTTGCTTGCCATCAGCTTTTGCTCATCATGCATTGATAAGGACTCATTTGCACCAATCAACTCTAACCTAGTGGGATCCATGGTGAGTTGTAGAGTGTTCTTTTTTTGTGCTCGAAAATGGGATTGCCCTTTGAAAGTGATAAGGTTTTGAAAAATTTTGGGAAAATTTGTTAGGTGAGACATGTTTATAGAAATGCCAAGTCATATATAAGGACTATTCCTACAAGTTAGGGAATAGATAAATATTTGGATAGTGATGTTCTATCTCACTGAAAGCTTCAGGTGAACTACGGTCATCAGATAAGTACTTGTCAAACTTAATAATTGACCTATTGCATTGCGTCTATGTAACTAGTTGATTAGCGTTTTGACTGAAGCTGTACAATACACTGTATTAATCAATATACCAGGCAACAAAATCTATTAAGTTAATAGTTTTGCCAAATCTAGTACAGACGCATTTAGTCAACGTGCTTCTGGAATCTGGATTTCATGGTTGTCTGAAGTATTGATTTGACTAAACATCATAGTTCTGGTAACCATAGCTGAATTCTTTGGTGATTCCTGCTTATCAGATATCACCAACTCTCCTTGTCAAAATATTATAAAGAAGTCAATTTTCTTTTCTAATTTTTTATTTAATGGTAACTCTAACTTGCAGGTAGGCTTCTGTAACCTTATCAAGAAAGCAAAGGATCAAATGAATCATCTCTGGGTTGCCGAAGCAACAGAAAATTCTGCATACTTTTTAAATTTGAATCCCTCAATTTGTTCTCACCTTAGAATTGCTGGTGCCTCTGTTCAGACATGGGCAAAGGCATCTAACTCGGTGCGCACTATCGAATTTAGAAGTGATGCTTAGTCTTTAATGCCCACTACTATATTTACCTTTAGTACTTGACTTTATTCATGCAGATTATTGGCAAACTAAGGGAGAAGGTTTTATTTATTCTTGACAATCGTGGAGGCTAATCTGTCAAACTAGCTGACTTGATTTGGACCAACTAGCAGCAAGCACGCTTGCACATCATATGGACCCTTATCGTTTGACATCAAGACTGAGGTAGCTATCTCTATTTGCTGTCACCACTAGTCTTCTCGCAGGTCAACTTTAATCGTGTAAGACTAGTTTCTTTCTTACCTTTTATCTTTTTATTGCATTTCCAATAATATTGGAAACTGATTTGCGATTGCCTGCCTGGAGGAAGCCTATCCTTGAATACTTTTGCAATCTTTATTCCAGTTCATAGTCCTTTAGTTCAATTGACCGGAAAAATAGCATTAGCAGGCAGGTAGCTTAGATGTGAAGTTATAGTTCGGACCAAATTTTAGTGATGATATACACATGATCTATTGAAGCAAGATCTTTTTTCGGGGTTTTAAACTTGGACATGAATTGGTTTAAGCTCATGACATTCTCCCTATGCAGGTCTTTCTTTAACATCCACTGGGCAGCTGACATAGTCCTCCAGGAACCTGGAGGCCTGGAGCCATTATTTTGATCATCCGGACTTTGAAAAGGTACGAAAGCACTTGAATTTGGTCACAGCACAATCCTTTTTTCGAGTTCTGGTTGAAGGGACCAAGTTTAGAAATGACAGAGGGAAACAAATGTGTGTCACATAGCTAAGAATGTATATATTTTGCTAGGCCTTTTATGTGTAATTATGCTGGGGTTTGAGATAGATAGGATCCCCTAGTTTTGTTATTCTCCTATATATCCAGGCAGCTAAACTATTGGGAGATGCCATTGATTAATTTTGCTGTAAGTTGCTAATAAAATTTGGGCCCCGCTCAATCTTGGTCTCTTTAATCTTTGCTGCCTTGCTTATGTTCCGGGTCGGAATTTATTAGCGAAAGGGCATGTTAAAATGAACTTATTTGTATATACTTTACAAATATTGTAATTTTTTCTTATAGAAATTAGATTAAGTATTTGATTCAGTCGATCTTAAATTTTTAATAAGAAATAATTAAATTGACTGAATTATATAGTAAAATTAAAAGAATTGAAATTGATTTATATTTGACATCGACTTATGTTCGATTAATTGTAACAACTGTTTTATATTTAATCAATTTGATTGGTTTTATAATTTTTAATAATATTTATAAAAATATAAATATTTTTTATATTATTGATTATAAAAATAATATCATTAAAAAATATTAATAATATCCCATTCAATAATGTACTCGACCGTCACACTTCTGTTATGGGTTGAAAAATGCTGCAAAGAAAGCACCTTTAACACAGAAACGTGAGCTTTCCATCAAACCATTGACCCATGTTGCCTAAATTAACAGCTAAAGCGAACGGCTGTCGATGAAGGCCTACACCAGCAAATGGAGGGGCGGGCCTCACCCATTCTTTCCATTCGTCCTTTTTTTTTACCACCCTCTCACTTATTATTTACTTTTTTACAGTTTCCTGCGGCCAAACATATATTATTCTTTTTCAGGTGCAGACATGGATAATTCTGTTAAAGAAGTAAAAAGCACTACTTTTGCATGGGAAATCAATGAGTTTTGAAGACAAACTAAGCTAAATGGGGGAGTTAATCTCAAGTAACAATGGGCTAAGGCTTTAATCCCCAAATGACTGGCAAACGTTGTCACACCATAGCAACCTGGTTCAGGAATGTTCCATTGTCATTATGCTGTCTGGACCTGATGGTACAAAACCGTACCCTTCACTTTGCTCTCTTTTGGTGCTTTATTTTGTATTTGTATAGCCATTTTCAGAACAGCAAAGGAGCAAAGCTGAAAAGAAAAGGTATGGCGGGTGAGAAGAAAACTACATTGAGAGGATGCATCAAGAAGAGCAAGGGGCCATGGATAGTTCATAGAGCCACCAAAGATGGTGGAATAGTCACTAGGTATCGGTTTCCGACCGAGAACGAGCGCCAAAAGAATAAGCAAAGGGAGAGAAGGCGACGAGCGGTGGCTCAGAACATCTTTGCAGGGCTCAAGGAGCATGGGAATTACAAGCTTCCTAAGCATGCCGATACCAATGATCTGTTGAAAGCTCTTTGTCAGGAGGCTGGTTGGTATGTAGAGGAGGATGGAACCATTTACAGGAAGGTGCGTAAAATGTTCTTTAAGCTATTTTCAGAGGTCTCCCTGTATTGTTTTTAATGAATATTTTGTTGCAGAAAACAGTGCCATCAACAATATTGGCAGCCTCGATTGAAAATGGTGAAGCAAAAGATCAGGATTATTGTACATGCAACGATCATGGGAATGTTCTTCGAGCATCAGGAACCTTCTTGTCAGTAGGACAGTCCCAAGAATGCAATGGCATCAACTTGATGCTTTCCCTCTCCGTTTCAAATTCCTTGACCCGCCATGTTCCTGAGAAGGAAGGTATGGTTTCAAACTAGCAGGAGCTTGGCAAAGAACTGGTTTATGGTGGAAGTATATATAGGATAAATCATTATCTAGTCTTTTTCTTCCTGGATATAAAGAAAAAACCCAGATAGGAAAGCTAACACAGATGCAATTAAACTTATTTGGTGCTCTTTTCCTAACACAGATGCAATTAAACATATTTAGTGCTCTTTTCCTTGATGAAAACACATAGGTAATTTTAATTGAAAATGATGACGATGTTTATTCTTGGGAATTCTTTTTCAGTCTGATTCTGTATCCAAAAGGAATACTTGGATTAGAGTCTTATAGTTCGGGTCTGGGCTAAACCCATTCCTAACCCATAGAAGATTTTGGGATGGGCTGACCCTAGCCTCGTTCCTTCTTTCGATTGGCTTGAAGCCTAGAACATATATATACATGATGCTCTTGTCTATTGTTTGAATGAACTTTTTAACTATGCAAATTGACATCACCAGCTCTGGGCATCGAATACAGAGAGCTGAAAAGCATAAAACTAAGCTTTTGTATCGTGGAAGCATGGTTTCAAGTAGAATTCTTGCTTATTCTTTACTCCCACAAGCACAAGGTACCCGTATGCAACCCGACAATAGGCATAAGAAAAGCATTAGCCAAATTGCTCGCACTGAATAGTCAGACGTACTAAGATAACAAAGAAAGTTCATGCTCTCTGAACTTCAGGTTTTAGACAAAAGAAATATAATTTCAGGTGTTATAAGCAATCCTTTCAGTGCAAATACAGTTTGTCATTCCCATCCCAGGAATGGAAAAGAATTAACAATTAAACTTCCTTTTCCTATTTGCTGTATGTAAAGCAACTAAAATAATTTCAATTTTTTATTTTGTTTTTTACAAAAAATGGAATATTAGTTCATTCCACACATCAGGCACACCTGGTAAGCACCAGTGTATGCAATCAGAGTAGCTTGCAGGGTTTGCCAATTGCTGGGGGCTCAATGTCTCCCAAAATTTTCTATAGATGGAAGGGTGCCCATCTTTTCGATATTCTGAGAGCTGAGTAATATTAATAACAGATACCTTTGAACCCAATCGGGAAAGCACTTTATCCAGCATGCGCATGGTAGGCAAGTCGGAACCACTCCCCCAGTAGCCCTCCAGAGTGATTGGTGTCATTTGATTATAGCAGTTTCCATCACTTCCCGATTCCCACTCTTGACTCCTGATTAATGGGAAAATGTTAGTAAATATATGCCAAAATTTATTAAAAGAGCCCCCAGCTGAAGATGGAAAAGGTAAAAAGACCTCAAGCAAGGGAAGCAGCTTCTCTTTTCACATTCTAGGAGCTTGCCAATCATTAATACGATGAACAATTGAAACGAAATGTAGTAAATAATTCAGCTAAACATGCCATGGTACCAATAGGAGCACCATACTCTTGTAGATGCTGCCCTGCAGTTTGGTAACAAGAACTAGCCATGACAGTTACATAAGGCGTCCATTTTTAAACTTAAAACTTTAAAAGGAAACATCGATCAAGACATCAAATCAACTCCATGAAATTGAAGGGCACATATGATGGCCAACAATGATTTTCATGCAAGTAAAACCTAAGTAAGAAAAATTTTCTATCTCATGCAGTTTATTAATCCGTAGGTCCTATAAGCTTCAATATTTCCAAATCAGCTAGGATCTCAAACCCCAGCAAGTGCACTAGAGCATACTAAAGTTGATTCTTGACAAAGGAAATATTATGAACCTCTATTGTCACACAACTCCATGGTAGGGCCAATGGCTGTGGATACTAAAAACAATCCTATTAGTGACTCCATGATGCATTATTAGTCTTATAGATTCTTCATCTCAGCCTCAAATGCCTCTATAGTACCATTTATGACAATTAATAAGTTTGCAAACTTTAACCAGGTGAAAACAGTACCATTAGTGACTCCATGATGCAGTACTAGTCTTATGATCCTTCATCTCTGCCTCAAATGCCTCTATAGTATGATTTGTGGCAATTGAATAAGTATGACACTTTCAACGGATGACTTATCCAAATGATGAGAAGTATAGAATAATTCAGGTCAGGGGTAAGACCCTCACCAGAAATGTGTTGGTGACATAGTAACAAAAAAGACACGTTTCTTTAGGGGAATGACTTTAGATGCTACCCAGTCTGCCCAAGCTCCCATGGCCAACTCCATGGCTCCCAGCCCATTGAGTTCCTCACAGGCTCCATTTTCCTCAGCACTCCATCTGCAAAAGTTGCAAGTATATTAGGAATTCAATATATCTTAAAAATATATTTATCTTTCCTAAACTAGAACCTGTCTGCTATTATACATACAACAGCTTAACAGGGCCTTGTCTCCACCACAAGTACGAGTTAAAAATTAGTATGTCTGCATGCTCCCACCGTGATGAATGCTTAAGTACTGAATCAGGACGGATTATTCGTTCAGCTAATCTGTGATTCACTGGGTCATCAGAATTAGATTCAACCAAAAGTGGAGCCCATAGAAATTCAACAGTGGCATTATATTCCTGCAAACGACACAAGAGTAGCACACAGCCATGATGTACTGAAATATCAGATTTCCAAGATCCATCACCAGCTTATGATGTTTCATAAATTTCTATTTATTCTCTAGGCAAGCCCTCACAAAGAATAATACATAGACAAACTTAAAGAAAAATTTAATCACCCTTATATGATACGTGGATTTCTTATGCTTTATATTCAAACCTCTTAGAGGATGTTTCCTGGCTTACCTCTGCTCTGAAAATGGTAAGCTGAGCATTAGGAGTTATGGATCTCTTATTTGCTGGGATCACTGACTGTAACAAACACACCATTGATATCCATTGACCTCTATTCAGAGAATCCCCCACGAACATTAGCCTCTTCCCTCTCAACTTCTCCCACATTTCAGTCGCATTCCATCTAACACACCAGGGAATAAAGGACAAAAAAAAATCAATTTCAATCAGGAGAAAGTTCTATCATCTATGGCCAAAATGTTAACTGGCAATTTCACTACTTGGAAAAATCAAATTTTAATCTTCACATGGCATCAGTTGCATTTGAATTGGGACAGATCACCCATCTCTCTTGAATTAGCTATACCTCCTCGTATTCAATTTATCAACTAAGCTACTACCATTAAAGGCTAGAACCGGCAAATCTAGGACACAGCAAAAAACAAGCAATCATCTGAACTATATAATATGACATCTACCTAAAGGGAAACAACAACAACAACAACAAAAAAGGACATTACCTCTTCAAATTGCAGTTATGAGGCTGCCATCTCCAATACTGGTACTGCAAATCAGACCTCCCATGCTTATGACATGCCAACTGGTCCGACATATACGGACAGTCGGACTCTTTGTAAAGTGGATACGATGTGTTATCAAACACCCACTTTCCAGAGAATACATCACAGCTCTCTTGGTTTACCCTGCTTCGCCGACCCGATTTTGCATCCGGGTCAACCCACTGGATTTTCTTCCCGCTGTAGTCCCTTGTAGTGTTGCAACTACTGAATCTATCCAAAACCTCTAAACACACACATAAATAGCCAAATCCCAGTTATTCTAATATACCAAAATCTCACAAAGACTTGAACTTTGTTGAAATTCTAAAAGATGAACTTTGACCAAGAAGAACTGTTTTAGAAAAAAAAAAAAGGCAGTAAAGATTGAAGATGATAACCACACCTGAAGCTCCTTTTGGAAGATTTGGTTTTACATAAGTAAATGAAGATTCTTGACTGTGAGGAGCATGATCCGGGCTTTCATGGATTTGTTGAATGCTGAATTCGTTGTAGAGAATCGAACAAGCTATGAAAACCAGGAGAAGAACTGCAAGCAAAGGGAAATGGGGTTTCTTTCTGCCCCATCTAGGTGTCACCGACATGCTGAATGGCAGAGCCCCAAGGACACCACCTCGAGCTTCCCAAATTGCAGCCTGCTACTTCTAAGGCATAACTAGTACTAACTGGATTTGCCTACTTAAAGTAAAGATTTTAATGTAAGAACATTGAGTTTGCCATTTAATAGTTGTAATATAAAAGCCCATGCAGAGGTCATAACTTCTTAACAAGGAGATTGTGCCAGCTGTAGTTACGGCTGATTATCCAGCTGATTGCTGCTGTTCTTGATACTTTAATTGGCGATTGATAGGTGGTTTGGTGCATTTAGGAGTATTCTATCATTGTTTGTCTTGGCTCTTCCATGTCCACCAAAAACCCTGACCATAATTATTGGCAGCTATCAATTATATGAAAAGTTCATAATTTATTTGAGAATCATATAATCTATTTAATTAAAGTTATATGAACACTAAATTCTGAATTTATGAATACAATATTAGTTTTATTTTTGGGTAATGTTAGTTTGTGATGGTGCAAGGTTGTTAGCCTAATAAAATATTTGTACCTAATGGAAATTTGGTAGACATATTTCTTTATTTGCATTTGAACTTCTAACAAACAATTACATTTCTTTATCTAAATTCCTCTTTAAATAAAGATATGATTACTAAAAATTGTATATCCGACTACTTTTAGAACAAAAATTTTGTCTTTACTTGATGTCTCAATTGGAGGTTTTTTATAATTTTACGTCATAAGTTTTTTAAATTTCTTATATTACAATTTGAAATTTATGATTTAGAGATTGAAATTTAAAATTTATGATTTGAATATTCGAATTTTTAGTTGATAATATAAAATGTAAAAAGAGGATTTATATTGGGGCTTTTGGTGTGCTTGAGAAACCTAAGTATCTAAGCTTCATTTGCAAATTTTTACAAAGAAAGGTAAAAAAGATCATCTTCTGTGGAAATGTTGTCAGCTCTAATTCATTCAATCCAAAAGTTACAAAGCTTCTTAATTTTCATTAACATTTCATTGGGGTGATGGGGGAAAGGAATTGTCAAAGTTGAAGAATGTAGGCATAGAGCAGCTCGTTCCACACATCAGGCACTCCAGGGAGGCACCAATGGATACAATCTGAATAGTTTTTGGGGTTCGTTAACTGTTCTTCCGTTATTGTTTCCCAATGCTTCCTGTAAATCGATGGGTGACCTTCTTTCCTGTAATCTGATAGCTGTGTGATGTTCATCATGTGGACGTTTAACCCTCTGGTTTTCAACTCCCCAAGCACGCTATCGACTACACGCATCATCCTTGGACTGGCTCCGTCTCCCACATATCCTTCCTTGCTAACCGGTTCTTTTTCACTGTAACAATTTTCACCTCGGATTCCACCCCACTTGTCGGCCCTGAAAGTTTTTACATGACAGGTTGATGTGTTTGATCATTAAATTTATTGTTAAATCTATGAGGAAGAGATTATATATATAGGCAGGTTTTATAGTATACTTTTGGTGAGTTGGTGACATGCTCATGAAGAACAACTGGGTCGTGTTCCTATTGACGTGAACCTCCAACCATTGTGCCCATGTCTGTAGGGCCATCTCGTATACCCTTGGCAACATAACTGCTTTATAAATCCCATCTTCAGGGTTTTCGAAAGATCCCCACCTGATAATTAATATCAGAGCCACATCGAATTAAAACTTGGTCGACACCAAATTAACCTGCTGGTTTTGATTAATTATAGGTTGGAAAATGTACTTACAAGACCTTCATTTGGCGTCTTCTCCACCAAAGGTATGTATTGAAAATGAGAATGTCAGCATCTGTCCAATGCCTAGCATGCTTTTCTATCGCCTGGACTCTGACAATCCGGTTTGGTACTCGATGGTTCACTGGATCATCCGAGTTGGATTCCACCAGCAATGGAGACCAGTAGAACTCGATTGTTGCATTGTATTCCTTCATAACATGAATTAGTAATATTTTAGGCACTGTAGCAAAGATCACAAAGCCAATGAGATTAAAAAGGAATATGAAATCCTTTGTTGGCATGTATGTTACTGATTTCTTTTGGAAATATTAGAGAGCACTCACAGTGGCCTTGAAAATGTTTATGGAGCCATTGTTATGCATGGATTTGAAGGCTGGAGGGATGGCTGAATCCACCAGGCAGACCATGGAAACCCATTGGTTTCTGTTGAGCGAGTCCCCGACGAAAACAAGCCTCTTATTCCTAAGCCTCTCCAGCAATGCTGTGGCATTGAACCTTATTAACATAAAACAAGGAAACATTCCACAGAGCTCAAAAACATTGCCAAATGCATTCTTAAAGCCATCATCATCCCTGTTTTTATGTGGTTCTTATTATGGATATAAATATATGCGTACTGAATGGAAAAGCAAAAGAGAACAAAAGAAACCTAGGGAGGTCACACTCGTGAGGTTGCCATCTCCAGAACCGATAGTTAAGGTCCTTTCTCCCGAACTTCTCACAAGCTAACTGATCAGACATAAACGTGCATTCTCTCTCTTTGTATAGAGGGTAAGATTCATTATCATAAACCCATTTCCCTGAGAACAAATTGCACCTTGACGTCAAGCTGCCACCAGAAAGTGTAGTCCCGGACTCGAAGAGTTGTTCATTGGTTTGTCTCAGATAGATAGCAGCAACGACTAGAATGGCAATGAGAAGGGCAACAAGCGATTGGAAGCTGGTCCTGATATCCCATGCTGCAGAAACCACGGCCTGCTGCTTCTTCGCCATATTCTCCCCTCTCTTTTCCTTGTCCGTCTGACTCGGCTCCCCCATCTCTTAATTCCCTCTTTTTGAAGTTAAATTTCCAGCGGTTGGTGGCAGTCAATTTTCACAATTTATTGTTTTGCCTTGGATTAGGAGAAGTGGAGGTGCAAATATCCGGTAGTTTGCTGAAAGCAACAGACAGGACTTGTAGCTGTTGGATGTTTCTTGCTATGTTTTACCAGAACATGCGTACTTCCAAAAAAGTTCACTAGGTTATTCCTCACTGCTACCATCAGAAGCCACCGTCCATGGACGTGTTGGTAATTTGAGAAAGAGCAACTTGGGATGCCAAGGGAGTCAGGCACACAGATTTTTCCATTCTTGTGGCTCAAGCTGAGCTGTTATTCTTGTGCTAGTCAAATAAATTTATGCACATCAGGTTAGGGTTGTTGGTACATCTCCCCATCTCCCATCCGTTGCCTTGAAGTTACCTCAAGAACTCCAAAGCCCAGTCATTGTCTCTCGCTGTCTCCAGGTATTTGATCCTTACTGTTACTTACCACATTTAACCAACATATCTAAACATGAATTGCTAGCGGTTTCGAGTACGAAAGTAGGAGGAAAAGTACGGCATACTTCAACTCGGTTTGACCATTAATGCTCAAGGAATTTATAAGTAATTAAAATCCTCATTAAATAAATCAAAAGATGAAAGTATATCATGATTATGCTGCCCTGAAATTCTCTTGCATATAGAATACCAGCATCCATCAGGTTTACAGACCTTTCCTTTCTTCTCAAGATATATAGAGTGAGCTCATTTTCTTCAAAATATTGCATTTCCTCTTTTAGCAACACCAGGGAAAAGGTATGGCACCGAGTATGCATTATTGCCATTGATAAATGCGAAACATCCTCATGATCATTGAATCCCCCAACCCCCAGGTAGTTATGCCAGAGATAACTATGAAAATATATATATATATATATATATGAACAGGAAAGTTAAAACAGTTAAATTTAGTGGCAACTTGAAATGATCATCATGACTGGCAAAGTGGCTCCCACAGTTATAATAATAATGTTAGCATTTCAATCTTGAAAGATAATTAGCATAAATCATGAAGGCATTCTCTATCGACTAATAATAAAGGATTTCAACTACAAAACGATGATTTCCAATTGGCTAATGAGATTAGTTTATATGTGTCCCGAAAGCAACATCACTTTGTTCTCTGTATTTATCTCATATATAACTATATAACTTAATTATGGCCAGGTTTCCATTGGATACCTCTCACTTCTGATTAATGTCGATATTGATATAAGCCTGACTTGGTAGGCCGCCACAACAATGTGTATATCACTGTGGGCCTATATATGACTAATCAAATTTGAGTTTATACTCTTTAATTTTTACGGAGATTAAAATAAAAATTTTAATTTTAATAAATTTTATATTACATTTATTTTTTAATAATATAAACACTCAATGTTTTTTAATATGAAAAATATAAAAAATAAATTTATATTATAAAAAAGTGTCACATGTATGCAAAAGGGTTGGTTTTTATTTTTTTTTCCTTTTTTATCTTTCTAACTTTTGAGAGATGCAATAAATTCTTAAAATTCATGAAAACATTTTTTAAATTGGAATAGTTTTTAAGTTTTTATCTAATCTTGTGAAATTAACATCTATCAATCTCAAACTACTTATGTACACGTATATATGTACGTGTGTGTTAAAAGGACAGACTAAATTTCGTAATTAAGATAAACAACTCGAGTTCCTTGGATTCTATTTAATAAAGGAGCTGCTGCTTGTGGACCATGGATTTCCTCGATCTCAGCTATTTACCAGAAGAGTAAACGGAATATTCGTCGTATATGTAATTTGTTAAAATCCAAATTTTTATCTTAATTTTCATATGTATATATAAAAAGAGAGAAAGCGTTTGGTAGTTATCACATGGATCTACTTATAACTTTTCAACGTCTTGTACTGATTTTCAACAATACTACATTTTGTACCTATCTCTTAAAAACCCTCCTAAGGGGATAAGCCGTGCTTGACCCGAATGGCAACCGATCTTCCAATGGAATAATTATACGCTGATACAAAATGTACTGCCATTGACCAAATTTATTGCAAATTCACATGTTTATAACAATCAAAACCAATTCATACACATGCTGACTGATTTTTCCCAGCATATAGGAGGCCCTGTCAGTGAAAGACCGACTGCACCACCAGCACAAAAGAAAACCATGTTTACGGAAACATAATTAGAATTAAATTGTTCTATTTTGTATGCATTCCTTTTGTTTGGATTTTACAGCTGAAATTAATTAGTTCTGTTCAAAAAATATTTGAGTATTTAACTCATTGTTTGATGTGTGTTTTCTTTGCTTAAAGAATAGAGTTGGGAAACTTCTTTTCCCGATTAAATAAAACAAGGTTCACCCCTTGAATCAGCCTATGGCGAATTCGTATATGCTGTAATGTGTTAAGAATGTGAAGATGGAAATGGAAGCTAATGGTGGGGGTGGCGGCAGATATTGAATGAAAAAGTCTTTCAGAAGAAA